TTATTTATTTATTTTAAATTTTGTTATAAGGTACAAAAACACACCAGGTGGTGCTGGCAGGTGGCATGGTGGTTAAAGTGCTGGACTCCCATGTGGCCGACCATGGTTTGAGTCCCGGACGTGGGGGCTTGCTTTCTCACTTTCTCTCTCTGTCTCTCTCTGGTCAAATCAAAATAAATGAATAGGGACCAGCAGTTAGCATAATGGCTATGTTGCTGGACTCTCATGTAGTTGACCACAGTTTGAGTCCCAGGCTCGGCAGCTTAAACTCTCGCCGAGCGCATGTGTGTGCATACCCAAGATCCCGAGAGGAGAATGGAGGAGAAGAGATTGCGGTGTGGCCATCCCCCCTAGGAGGTGATTTCTCGCTTTCTGTCTCTCTGTCTCTGTCTGTCTTTCTGGCAAGCGCATGCACCCTATAACAAAAACCTCTCAAAAAAAAAAAAAAAGACTAAATAAATAAAGTTAAAATAATAAAAATTATTTTTTAAAAAAAGAAAACAAACACAGCCAGTTCCATAGCCTAGTGGTTAAAACAACCAGATCCTAGGGCCAGCAGGTGGCATGGTAGTTAAGGCACTGGATTCCCAAGTGGGTAAGCGTGGTTTGAGTCCCAGACTCACCAGCTTGAAACTCACTCTGAGCACTTGTGCACTTGTGTGTGTGTGTGCGCTTAAAACCCTGAAAGGAGAATTGAGGAAAAGGGATTGTGGTACAACCATCCCCTCTGGAGGGTGATTTCTCTTTTTCTGTCTCTCTGTCTCTCTAATATGCACACGTACCCTAAGGCAAAAATCTTTTGAAAGTAGAACCATATCCTACATGGCAGACTATGGTTCAAATCCTGGCTCTGGTGACTTGAAAAACACACTGAACACAAGAGCATGTGTGCTGAAAATCCCAATAGCATGGGAACCAGCAGTTAGCGTCATGGCTATGTCACTGGACTCCCACGTAGTCAACCGCGGTTCGCGTCCCAGACCCGGTGGCTTAAAACTCACGCTGGGCGCGTGTGCGTGTGTGCCCAAGATCCCGAGAGGAGAATGGAGGAGAAGGGACTGCGGCGTGACCATCCCCCCTGGGGGGTGATTTCTCGCTTTCTGTCTCTATGTCTCTCTCTGTCTGTCTGGTGAGCGCATGCGCCCTATAGTGAAAAACCTCTCCAAAAAAAAAAAAAAATCCCAATAGCATGGAGAAGTAGAGGAAAAGGAATTGTGTTATTTCCACAGCCCATTGGGGGGGTGCTCTCTCTCTCTCTCTCTCTGGCATTACATGCACTTTCTAGCAATAACAAAAGAAAAACAATCTAATTTTTAAAATGGGCCAGCTGGTGCTATGGTGGTTAGACATTGGATCCCACATATCTGACTGAGAAGTTCGAGTCCTGGACCCAGTATCTTGGAAAACATGCCAGGCATGTGTGCATGCATGCCCAAGATCCTGAGAGAGGAATGAAGGAGAAGGGATTGCGTGTGGCCATCCCCCTTGAGGAGGTGATTTATCACTTTCTCTGTCTCTCTTTCTTGGTTTCTCTGGCAAGTACAGGTACCCTATAGCAAAAATTTCAAAAAATGTTTCATTAAAGGGCTGGCAGGTGGCATGGTGGTTGAGGAGGCTGGACTCTCACATGGCCAACTGCAGTTTGAGTCCTGGACCTGCCGGCTTGCTTTCTCACTTTCCATCTCTCTTTCTCACTCTGTCCCTCTCTGGTCAAATTTAAATAAATAAATAAATAAATGAAGTCAAATAAAATAATTTTTTTAAGAAGTTCAATTAGGGACCAGCAGGTGGCATGGTGGTTAACGAGCTGTACACTCCCACATGGCCGACCACGGTTTGAGTCCTGGACCTGGTAGCTTGCTTTCTCACTTTCCCTCTCTCTTTGTGTTTCTCTCTATAAATGAATGAATGAATAAAATAAAATAAAATTATTGAAAAAAAAAGTTCAATTAAAGAAAATTGGCAGGACCAGCAGTTAGCATAATGACTATGTAGCTGGACTCCCATGTAGTCACCCGTGGTTCGAGTCCTGGACCCAGTGGCTTAAACTCATACTGGGTGCGTGTGTGTACGTGCCCAAGATCCTGAGAGGAGAATGGAGGAGAAGGGATTGCAGCGTGGCCATCCCCCTTGGAGGGGGTGATTTCTTGCTTTCTATCTCTCTGTCTCTCTCTGTCTTTCCGGTGAGTGCACGCACCCTATAGCAAAAACCTCTCAAAAAAAAAAAAAAAAAAGGAAAAGAAAAAAGAAAAGAAAAAAAAAAGAAAATTGGCAAAAGATTCAAACAGGCCGTTACCCAAATAAAAAATATAAATGATAAGTACATAAAAAGATGCTGAACATCATTTTCTCTGTGGAAATGCGAATTAGAAACACAAGCAATACCTCCACACACAGACTAGAATGGAGAAAATTAAAAATACAAACAGTAAAAAGTGCTGAGGAAGATGAACAACTGGAACTCTCATATACCACTGGTGGGGTTGCAAAATGATATACCTGCTTAGGAAAACAGTTTGGCAACTTCTTAGGAAGTTACACCTACACTTACCACATAACCCAGATATCCCACCCAAGAGAGATAAAGACATATACCCACACAAAGACCCATACACAAATGTACATAGCAGCTTTATTGTAACAGATGCAAACTGGAAACCCCCTAAGTGTATATCAACTGGTGAACAGATAAATAAATTATAGGACGTCATACAATGAAATACTACCCAGCAACACAATGGAACAATGCATGCAAGAACATGGCTGGATCTCAAAGCGTTATGCAAAGTGAAAGAAGCCATACAAAAAAAGCCTACATACTATGTGATGCCATTTGACAATATTCTTGAAAAGACAAAACGTTAAGGACAGGAATCTCAGAAACGTGGTTTTCTAGGGGCTCTGGTGATAGTGGTAGGGATTGATTACAAAGGGGTTTAAGAGGAGCGGACACCAGGACTCCAAGATGGCGTCAGTCGTACCAGTGAAGGGAAAGAAACTCATGAATGTCAAACTTGGGGAGCTGCCAAGCTGGATACTGATGCAGGATTTTACCCCTAAAGGCATTGCCGGAGCATTTCAGGGAGGTTACTATCGGTGTTACAACAAGTAGGTCATGGTGAAGAAGGGGGTTGCTGCTGGGGTTTCTATGGTGCTGGCTGCTTATGCGCTCTTCAGCTACTGCCTTTCCAATAAGGAACTCAAACACGAGCAGCGACGGAAATACCACTGCAGAGGGCCAGCATGGAGGCCATACACTGAACCAGACCTTCATCTCCTTGGCTTGGCACCCCTCCAAAGGATCTTGTTGAGTACTTTCATATCCCAGTCGAGAATTCACATCCAATAAAAGATGACTGGTATGTGTTTAAAAAAGAAAAAAAAAAGGGGGTTTAAGAGAACTTCTTGGGGTGAAAGAAATATACTATATCTCTGTGAAACTCAAAAAGTTGTACACTTAAAAATGGTGAATTTTACTCTATATAAATTATTCCTTAATAAACCTGAATTTAAAAGAACCACCAGTGGTAATGAATATGGTTTTAAAATATGTCCACGAATTCTGTAACACTCTTCGCTTCAAAAAGTGAAGCCTAGGGGCCATCAAGTGGTGTAGTGATTAAGGCACTGAACTCCCACGTGGGCAGCCGTGGTTTGGATCCTGGACCTGATGGCTTGAAAATCATGCTGGGCACATGTGTGTGGATGCCCACAATCGTAGGTGAATGGAGAACGGATTGAGGCATGGTCATCCTCCCGGGGGGGCGGGGGGGAGGTTGATTTTTCACCTTCTCTCTCACCGTCTCTCTCCAGTGAGTGCATGTGCCTTATGGCAAAAACCTTAAGAAAATAAAATCAGGTGAAGCCTAACTCCATTTGACTTGAGTGTGGGCTGGCTTATCTAATGATACATTTCTTCCATTTCCCCCCTGATTGTCAGAGTGCACGTGCTCATCAGAGAGAGAGAAGAGAAGAAAGAGAAAGCACCCAATGGGGTGTGGTCACATTGCAATTCCTTCTCCATTTCTCCATCTCATCAGGATTTTGGACACTCACACATGTGCACCCAGCATGTTTTTCAAGCTGCTAGGACAGGATTCAGACTGCCATTGGCTGTGTGGAATCTGGCTCCTTTATCCAACAGGCCAGGGGGGTCAGCCCAGTGACATATTTCTACTATATATATATATATATAACTTACCAGAGAAAGACAGAGAGAGAGAGTAAGAAAGCAAACCACTAGGTCTGGTACTTGAACCATGGTTGGCCATGTGGGTGTCTAGTGCCCCAAACACCATGCCACCTGCTGGCCCCTAATTTCTTCTTTTTTAAAAAAATTTTTGCCAGAGGTCTAAGCATTTGCCAGAGACAGGGGAGGAGGGAGAGGAAGAAAAGTTCCCCTGACTGGGGGCATGGTCATGTGGCTCTCTCCTTTTCTCCATCCTGTTGGGATTTTGTGCATGCATGCACAGTGTGTTTTTCAAGCTATCGTGGCTGAAATTCTAACTGCACAGTTGGCCATGTGGGTTCTGGCTCCCTTAACCACTAGGCCATGGGGACCAATGATATTTTTAAATAATTTCTTATTTACATTTAATTGTTGTGCATCTTGGTGAGGTACAATATAATTTTTTCAAAGCATGAATGCAATATGGGATCATCAGATCAAGGATATTACCATATACATCATCTTCGACAATGAACATTACATTGTATTATGCACCTTCAATATTTCTTCTACTAGTTTTTGTTTTTTCAAGATATGTATGTAAGATTGGCAACACTTTTTTTTAACTCTGTTGTGTATATCATTCCATACCATATCCTATTTAAAAATATGGAAGGGTGTAGTGGTTATGGTGATGGACTCTCACATGGCCAACCGTGGTTCAAGTCCTAGACCTGGTGGCTTGCTTTCTCACTCTCTCTCTATCTCTCTCTGGTAAGCACATGTGCCCTATAGCAAAGTTACAAAAAAAAATAATGAAATAAATCATTTAACAAATATGGAACTCTTCACAGAGTTGTGTATTGTCTGTGTGCAGAGGCCATGCTAACCTTCTCTATGTCTGTTCCAATTTTTAGGATATGTGCTGCCACAGCAAGCACCAGACATAGATTTCTAACAAACAGAATGTAGCAGAAGTGATAAATGTAACTTTTGAGACTAGGCCATAAAAGAAATTGTAGCTTTCTCCTTGTTCTTTCTTGGATCACTCACTGTGTAGGAAGTCAAGTGCCATACTGGGAAGACATTCACCTCACCTTATGGAAAGGCCCACATAGCAAGCAACTAAGGCCTCTTTTTCTTCTTTTTTTTTAAATAATTATTTAATTTTATTTATTTATTCATTTATTTTTTAATTTGACCAGAGCAAGACACAGAAAGAAAGAGAGAGAGGGAAAGTGAGAAAGCAAGCCACCAGGTCCAGGACTCAAACCATGGTCAGCCATGTGGGAGTGTCCAGCGCCCCAACCACCATGCCACCTGCTGATCCCGACCTCTTCTTTTGTTTAAATAATTATTTTATTTAACTTTATTTATTTTTACTCATTTATTTTAATTTGAGCAGAGAGGGACAGTGTGTGTGTCTGAGTGTGTGTGTGTGTGCGTGTGTGTGTATGAGAGAGAGAAAGAGCAAGAAAGAGTGAAAGTGAGAAAGCGAGTGTCAGGTCCGGGACTCAAACTGTGGTTGGCCATGGTGGAGCCCAGCGACCCGAAACACCTCGCCACCTCCCGGCCCCAAGACCTCTTCTAAACAACCATGCAAGTGAGACATCTTGGAACTGGATTCTTGAGCCCATCTACTTGAGTCAGATGGGGCTGCACCTCTAGCCAACATCTTGTTTGCAAAATCCTGACAAATCTTGAGCCAAAATGAACTAGCTAAGCCACTCCTAAATTCCTGACCCACAGAAACTGAGATAATAAATATTTGTTGTTTCAAGTCACTAAGGTTCAGGTAATCTGTTACATAGTTATAGATAATATAATTATACATAGGCATATATAGAGGTATTGTGAAGACTTCAGATCTGATTCTAAGTCTAGTGAGAAGCCATTGGTGGTTTTCTAATTACCAGAGGGCACGTGAGCTCATCAGAGAGAGATATACAGAAATAAAGGAGAGAAAAAGCACTCCCAATGAGGTACAGTCATTTTACAATGCCCTCTTTTAAGAGAGAGATCTTTTGCTATAGGGCATGTGCACTCTTCAGAGAGACAGAGAGACAGAAAGCAAGAAATCACACCCCCTCCCAGCCCCAAGGCTGGGATTGGCCATGCTGCAATTCTTTTCCTCCATTCTCCTCTTGGGACTTCGGGCACGCGTACACATGTGCCCAGTGTGATCTTTAAGCCATCAAGTCTAGTACTCGAACTGCCGTCGACTACATGGGAGTCCAGCAACAGAGCCATGGTGCCATCTGTTGGTTCCCCACAATCCCTTTTCCTCCTTCTTCTATCCTATCAGGATTCTGGGCGTTCGTGCACAGGTACCCAGGAGGGTTTTCAAGCCTCCAAGGTTGGGACTAAGACTCAAAATGTGTAGTTAAACTATGAAATCCAGCTCCCTTAACTGCTACTCTACAGGGCTGGCACCACTTTTTTTTTTTTTTTTAAGTTTTACCTTAATTTTTATTAATGATGGAGCAGGTGTGCACACATGAGAGAAAGAGAAAATCTTCCACAGGATCTGGTTATACCAAGATTCCTTTCCTCTAGTCCTACTGCCCATTGCATCTTGGGCACAGTGCAGAAGCCTCGCATGTTTCAGGCTGACCAGCCCAGGGATTGGAACTGAGGTTGTCATATAGAATCCAGTTTTTCTTGAGCAATGCAGTGGAGCCAGGCTGGCTTTTTTTTTTTTTTTTTTTTCTTTCTTTCTTTCTTTGAATTTGACCAGAGAATGGGGGTTGGGGGAGAAACAGACAGACAGACAGAATGCGAGAAAGCAAGTAGCCAGGTCCGGGACTCAAACCATGGTCAGCTATGTGGGAGTCTAGTGTCCTTAACCACCACGCCACCTGCCGGCCCCTTGTTGTTTTTTAAAAAGAATTATTTATTTAATTTTATTATTATTATTTCTAAATTTGCAAAAGGACACATACACTGACCAGAGAGAGAGAGAGAGAAAGAGGGAAAATGAGAAAGCAAGCTGCCAGGTCTGGGATTCGAACAATAGTTGACTATGTGGGAGTCCAGTGCCTTAACCACCATGCCATTTGCTGGCTCCTGTTTTTGCTTTATTTTTAAGTTTCTTTCTTTCATGTGTATGAGAGAGAGAGAAAGGGAGAGATAGGAACCTTAAGAAGAAAAAAGATTTATTTAATTTCATTTATCATTATTTTTTAATTTGACTAGAGAGAAAGGAAAAGTGAGAAAGCAAGTTGCCAGGTTCAGGACTCAAACTGCAATCAGCCATGTGGGGATCCAGTGCCTTTAACCACAATGCCACCTGTCATTGTGATAAGAACTTCTGATCGGGTCTTGCCACACTGCAGTCTTCCCAGTCTCTAGCCAGCCAGGATGTCAGGTGCACTCAGTGTGTTCAAGTCAACCTGGAATCTAACCTGGGCGTCCCATGTGGCTTCCGTGTGTGTTGGCACCTTATTGCCTATACCACTGTGGCTTGGCCCTTGGGCCCTTGGCCCTTGTGGTTTTATTCAGAAGAATAACATAATAACAACTTTGCTTTAAGTAGTTATTTTGGCATGGAATGAGCAAGAATAGATGCAGGGAAACTAGTTAGGACGCTATTACAGAAGTACAGGTGAGAGACAAGGTGGCTCAGAGTAGGGTGATGAGTGTGGAGAAGGACGTGTTGAGTAAAGGAAGAAGAATCAAGGATGAGCCTTGTGTTTTGTGTGACTAGATAGTTAAAGTGAGGATAACTGTAAAAGGAACCGGTTGGGAGAAGTGATGGAGGAAAGTGAGGCCTGAAAGAATGATAAGTATGTGTTTAAGAAACCACAAATAGGACAGTATGGCTGAAGTTAATGGGGTCTGGATGGGACAGCATGTTGAGAAGAGGCTGAAAACAGGTGTGAAAGAAAGGCCTTGTGTACCAGCATAAGGTGCCTGGACTTTAGCTGAAGTCTATTTAGCCACTGGAAGTCACTAAAAGATTTTAAGAAGGAAGGTGATTGTTCAAATTCACATTTTAGAAAGATAATTAATGGGCCAGACAGTGGAGTGGTGGTTGAAGTGGCTAGATCCCACACAGCCAACAGCTCAGTTCAAGGCCCGAACTGGGACTTGAAAAACATGCTCTGTGTGTGTGTGTGTGTGTGTGTGTGTGTGTGTCCCGAATCCTGAGAGAATATAGGACTGAAATATAGCCATCACCCCTGCGTGGTGCTTTCTCACTTTCCCTCTCTCTCCCCCAACCCAGTGAGTGCACACACCCTATGGCAAATTAGAAAGAGATAGAGAGGTTAAATTGAAGAAGGGAAATATTAGAAGCCAAAAGCTGTTTGAATAACCTTCTGATTTTTAGGAGGCAACATGGCACATTGGAAAGAGCATATATGGCTTTTGAGTCAAATGGACCCGAGTTCAAATCTAGGGATAGCAAGCTGTCATTTGTTATGGGTTGAATTGTGATCTTCCAACATTTGTATGCTGTATCTCAGAATATGATCTTATTTAGAAATGGGGCTGGCAGGTGGTACAGAGGTTAAGGTGCTGAACTCCCACATGGGTGACTACAGTTCAACTCTTGAACCTGGCAGCTTGCTTTCTCACTTTCTCTCTCTCTCTGTATCTCTCTCTGGTCAAATTAAATAATAATAATAATGAATAAAATTAAAGAATTCTTTACAAAATAAAAGAAATAGGGTCATTGCAGATGTAATTAGTTAAGACCAGATCATAACCAAGAGGTGTGGGCCTCTAATTCAATATGACTGGTGTCCTCATAAAAAGGGGGAATCTAGACACAACACACCAAAGACAATGCCATGTGAAGATGAAGGCATAGATCTGCAAGACAAGGAATGCCAAAGATTGCCAGCGAACCACTAGAAGTTAGGTGGCGACAGGCATGGAAGAGATTCTTTCTCAACACCCTCAGAAAGAACCAAAAAACCAACCCCGCTGACACCAGCATCTATCCAGAACCAACCGTAATTGTGTTGTACAAGCCAATCAGCCTGGTACTTTGCTTCAGCAACCCTGGCAAACTAATATACCATCTTTGTGGACAAATTATTTGCTCTTACTAATCCCTAGTGTCCTTGTCTGTAAAGTGGGGGTAATTATATCTATCTTATGGTGATTAAATAAAATGGTATTTGTAAAACACCTGTCATAAACAGGCACCATATAAATATTACTTTGCATTTGTGAGACACTTGTGGTAACCAAGAAAAGTGGGGCATCTCTTTTTGGAAAAATTGACTGCAATTGCCAGGGTCATGGGCAATAAAGCTAAAATTTACAGGATAGATAAGAGGATCTTAGAATTCCTTTTTCCTGTAGGGTTGAGAGGATGCCTGGCATTATCTTGCTATCTCTGAAAGTGTAGCATCTTTTGCATTAGAACCCTAGTACAAGAGCCAAAAGCACCCACAAAGGCAGGAAGATTGAGGCCAACTACACTAGCAAACGGTAGTGAGGTGATGGTAGGACGGGAAGGAGGCAAACACACTGGAAGAGAATGTTCCAGACACCTCAGGCCTCCGGGCTCCCCAGCTCACTTCCTTAGGTAAAGATTTAGGCGGGGGTGCGGGGGGTTGTCCTCTCCTCAGCTCCATAAGGAAAACCCAACAGAGGCCTCACCGATCTCTGGAACGCCTAGTCCTTTTAGGCAGGGAGTCCTTGCCAAGGCAAACAATCCAAGCTCTACGATTGTGCTCCGGCTGGGTTAGGGGAGAACAAAGATCCCTTTCTTTGCTTTTCCAACTCTATGGCTCCAGCCAAAGTCGCTGTTTACACAGTCTTCCCTGGTGAAGAATTTGTTCCTTTTCTCTCTAGGTTGCAGTTGGAAAAGATTGATTCCCTTTTTGCCTATTCCTTTTTCCCATGTCCCTGGCCAGGAAAAGTGCCCAATACCCGAACCTCTCACTTTCAGAGATGTCAGCACACTTGGGAGTAACTCCAGGCCCTT